CGACGATCGCGCGACGATCGACCCCGCATCGCGCGCGCGCCGTGCGCATCGACGCCGCGACCGCTCTCGCGGACGTCCCGAGCGACGTCGACATCGCGATCGAGCGCGCGTCCTCGCGCACGCCGCGCGCGCCGTCCGCGCGTCGTCACAAAAACACGACCGCGTCGTCCGTCCGCCCGTCGCCCGCGCGGGAAGTGTCGACGCCGATGACGTCGTCGCGTCGACGCGTCCGGTGGGCGGCGCGGCGATGGGCGGCGTTCGTAGTGTACACGACATAGGGCCATCACCGGACCCGGGACGCGCACCCGCGTCCTGCGATCGACGCACATACGTCGACGCGTCTCTACACTACGTACTCTGTATCAATACACTGGGACATCAAACGCCCATCTTGGGCCCCACACGTGGGTGTCATCACCAGATCGGTGTGTGCACGCGTATAGTATTGGACTGTGTATCGTACTTACGTGCCCGTGTGCGGTATGATACACCGCGACGCCGACCGTCACGACGACTTCGACTTCGACGACGACGACGACGACGACGACGACGACGACGACGACGACGCGCGACGGCATGGCGCGCGGCGATGAGCACCGCGACGCCGACGCCGAGACCTCGGGGCGGTCGACGCGCGCGGGCGAGGACGCGGACGCGCGCGCGCGCGATGAGACGAACGCGCGGCGGCGGGCGGCGAACGATGCGGCGACGGTGATCGATGAACGGTGGCGAGCGATGTGCGCGCACGCGCGCATGGACGCGAACGAACGCGCGCGAGGGTTTCACGCGCTGGCGGACGCGATCGAACGGGCGGAGAAGTCGTTCGAGGACGCGAGAGGGGCGGAGGCGAGCGCGCGTCGGGCGCAGGACGGCGGGACGAAGCGGGCGGACGCGTTGCCGAGCGAACGGGAGTTCATGCCCGCGATCGTGGAGTACGCGGTGGGGGAGAAGATGTTTACGTGTGAGTTGCGAGAGCAAGCGGGGGCGATGCGGGTGTTGCGAGCGTGCGGATTGGGGAAGCGTTTGCGGGGACAGACGAATGACATCTTGGGCGAAGAGGCGACGCGGAGAGACGTGTACGCGAACGTCTTGAGCGAGCTCGCTTTCGGTGGACGCGCGGCAGAGCGAGCGCTTGAGAGAAGAGCGTCCGAGGGAGCGAACGCGGAGGGACCGGCGCGGACGCTGGACGCGAGACGACTAAAGGTGTACGCCATGGGCGCCTTTGCGTCGCTCCTCGTCACCGACGAAGACGGGGTCTCGAGCGAACACATCAAGAACGGTGTCATGGAGGGACTGTTGAAGCCCTTGGTGAATCTGATTTGTAAAGATGGCGCGGGCGTTGATGCGTGGGAGGTGGATGAGAAGGACTCGATGGATCTGGCGCTCGCCGCCGGCGACGAATGCCCGAGCGGACTTCAAGCGGGCGACTGCGAACATCTCCATCGAGCGTTGATGCAGGCGCGATTGATGTGCGTCGGGGGTATCGGGGACTACGTCGAGTGTTTCGCCGAGGCGCTGCAGCATGGGGTGTTGGAACTATCGATGCGGCTTTTGACGGGACCGACAGAGTCTGGTTGGCACGAATCGTACGGAACCGCGCGTCGCTTCAAGTTAGCCGGACACCTCCCCGGAGATCCCCAGCTTCCCGAAGCGCTCGCCGTGATCAGTGCATTTTTGGCGCACAGGAAGTTCGCCATTACATTCATAGAAAACGGCGGCGCCAAGCTCATGCTGAACGTCCCGCGCGGACCGATGACGTATTACAACTTGACGCGCTGCATGTTCGGCATCGCGAGCATCACCACGGCGCTCGAGAGATTGGTCGCGCCCTCGATCGATTTATCGAGGCGTTACGTGAAGATGGCGCTTGAGCTCCTTCAGTGCGATAACGAGTACGCGCGCCGACACGCGGCGCTGTTTCTGACGTTTGCCGTGCAAATTCCAATCGTCGTGGTGGCCTTTGACGCAGAGGCTGGTCTCAAACTGGTACTCGACACGCTTCGCACGACGGCTCACATCGTAACCCACGAAGAGTCTATGCTCGAAATGACGACGCCACAGGAGATCGCGATGGCCAAGGAGACCGGTGATCATGTCAGTTTGCTACTCCGCCAATACATGCGAGCGCACTTTGTCACCCACGTCAAAGCCATCGAGGAAAAGGTTTCGGGTAAATCCAAGAAAAACGATGCGCTGAAGAGTAAGACGACTGATACTGCGGCGAGACGGGCGATGTTTCGGGCGATGGACATCGGACACGACGCGACTGATCGACTATTCAGCATGGTGAGTCGCCAGAAAAGAATCGCCGCCGTCATGCAAGCAAAAACGTGGCTCGTGATTGAAGCCTTTTGCGCGCAGGGAGGACCGATGGTGTTGTTGGATCTACTCACGAAGGCTCCAGGCGAGAAGTCACTTCGAGAGTGCGTTTTGGGATCTCTTAGCGTGCTTAAGCTCGTGACGCTACATCCGACAGGTCGAGTCGCGACGGCAAAGGCGCACTTTGGAGAGTATTTTTCATCGGGTTACATTCTCATGGATATCATCGAGTCTGCGGCAGAGGCAGTCGACACCGAGGCTGTCGTTGAAGCGCTTAAAGTTATTTGCAATCTCGTCATCGCGCCTCTAGCGCTTTCCGCATCAGAACACAAATCTCATAAGGAGAAAGCGTCGGTTCCCATTGGTGGCCCGTTGCAACGAACGCATAGTGCGGGCGGTAATCTGACCGTGTTCGATTACGCGCGCCTCGAAGAGACTTACGTGAATGGAAGACAGAATATTGCGCAAGCTTACGGGGTAAAGGTGTTGCTGAAGTTGCTATTTAAAACGTCCAAGGTGTTGCCGCAGCCATCGATGAATATTTCACGCGCGCTTTGCTGTCGCGTACTCCTGGGGCTCACGAGAGATCAATCCATAGCCAACACGCTGCAGACGCTACAAATAGCTCGCATGCTATCAGAACTCGTGAGAGAGACTGGTCTCGGTCGTAGTTCAGCGCTCGAGGAGGAAGTCATAGTGGACTCTAAGCGTGAGAGTGGGACTGGTTCAGCGGCTACAGTTCAAGCCGCGGCGGCGGAATTCCATCGCTGCGCAGTTGAACTCATCGCTGCCACGGCTGGATTTGCGAACGTGAAAGCTACCACTCCGGCTGTTGCTTCAGACGCCGCGGCTCCACCGCTCGCGAAACTTGAGCGACACTTGATTGCGGCGTCGACGAAGGTTCGATATCCGCACGAAGAGTTGCTGCTAATCATGCACGAGCATCTCGTTTCTGCTGGATTGACGAAAACCGCGGCATCCCTCGTGAATGAGGCGCGACTTGCCCGCCCGGAAACTGGCACAAATAACGCTCGATCGTGCGACTCTCCAGCGCCGCGTTTGAAGCTTAACTTCAAAAATAAGCAGGCTCCGAGCAAGTTGCGCCGGCGCGCTCCGCGGTCCAGAATGACCGGTGCGGCTCGCGGCATGCTCGGTAAAGTTGATGAGCCATTCACACTTGGCCTTGATCAAGGACCGTCCGAGACACTCCTCCGCGAACTGAGTGGGGCGGCGAGGACGGTCATCAAGCAACCGCTAACGCCCACGCTTTCGAAGCGAGGTGTGAAGCGCACGCACTCAACCGAGGAAACGCGAGTGCACTTGGCCGAGGACTTGCGCAAATCGTTGACAACCCCAACATTGCAAAGTACGGAGGCATGCTGCGATCATCAGACGCCTTCTCCGGCTGTGAAAGAACGTTTCCATAAGGAGTTCCCGACACCTGGCGTTCTCGTCGCAGAGGGTCCGCGAGGAGAGACGGGATGTGGCGTACGTTCTCGCCTTGACTCGATCTTGACGCAGTATCTACGTGCGCAACACCGCCAGTGTAGCGCCCCAATCACGGCATGTGCTCCATTTTCGCTGTTGACGCCGCATCAGTGTCCACAGCCGAAGCGCAGTTTGGAGGCGCCGAGAAACTTGAGCTCTCGTCTTCGACAGCGCGAATGGACGCGCGCTTCAGGTCTAGAAATGGGAATGCGGCGAGCCGATCGGCACTTCGTAAACAGTAGATTCAGACCCCTACGAACCTTGCGGACCGACGTCGATTCTCTTTTCTCAGCGGTGTCATTCGTGCATGGAATAGTCGACCAAGTCGTCGTGGGGACCAATGAAGGAGAGATCCAGGTGTTTGACTGCATTTCAGGAGAGATTTTGGAGATCAGTAGCGACGCTATGCACGGGGGCTCCATTCGTAAAATCGTAGCAACCGGTCCAAAGTGTCCAAAGCCGATGTTCGCCGTGACATCGGTGCGGGGTATCTCTCTCTGGAGCCTTCCGAACAGTGACGAGGTACCTGAAATGATATGGGACAAAGACGGAAGAGCCGGAAGACGCGGATACGGAATCGCTGTTGACTCGACAGGTTCGACTTTCGCTGTAGGAGCGTTTGACAAAGATTTAGACATTATGGATACAGAGACGAAGACTGCGATACGTAGTCTCTCGTGGAAGACGGTGGGCCCACCGCTGATATCAAAGAACAACGACGAGCTTTCTTTCTCGCCCAGTGACAACTTGCTTCTGTGGGACGAGACACTATGGGACGTGCGCATTCGTGATGGCCCGCCGATTCAACGATTTGATAGATTTTCCGAAGCCTCGGGCGCGTGTTTTCATCCCGGGGGAAATGAAATCATCATCGGTAGGGAGGTTTGGGATATCCGATCATCGCGTCTCCTGCGAACCGTGCCTGCGCTCAACCGAGCTGCGCTGAAGTTCAATCACTCTGGTACCGTCGGCTTGGCTCACATCTTACACCCACGAAACGAAGAGCTCCTGTGGGGTCTTCGAAAGTGTCATCATCCGTACAAACACTCATTTTGCACGATAGACGCCATGGATTACTCGGACATTTGTACAGTGGATGTCACCTACGGCATGATTGACGCGTGCTGGGACGTCAGCAGCGACACGTTATGTGCCACGGTTGAGTACGATATCCTGGACACGCACGAATCGGTTGTTCGCCTTCATGAGGTCGGAAGACTCAGACTTCGCGAGGACGAGTCCGATATGGAGGAAGATCCGCACGATAACGGAATGGGGATGATGGATCGAGATCTCGCTTCGGATGACGACGAGTGGGAAGACGCCGAATGGGGCGACGAAGGCGAAGTCGATGCGGACGGAAGGCGAACAATCAACGACGCGCGCGTCGCACGTCAAATCGCAAGTCTCCGAGAGATCGCCGGTATCGGCGGCGGTGATGACTGGATGGCGCAGCGAAGACAGGTCTGAGGAATCGAGCGAATACGACTCTGATTTCATCGACAGCGACGATGAGGATAGTGAGGACGATGACGACGATAATCCAGATCCGTACGCCAGACTTGTTCGCGTCTTGAACAGAGTGAACACAGGCGGCGGCGCGCAGTTCGAATTCGTCGGGCTACGACCGGGTAGTTTGCTAGAGCGCCGGCGCCTCGCCGCGTCCGAGCGCGAGAGCGAACGCGGCGTCGGACGAGACATTTCTAACATCCAGGACGACGGTGACGACGACAATGCGGACGAGGACGAAGAGGACGGTGAATACGACTCCGACGCCTCCTGGGAGACCGATGACGGCGCGGATGAACACATGCAAGACGAAGACGACGAATAAGAGCGCGGCGCGCGACGATAGCCACGTCTTTCAATCAACCCCAAACTGAAACATTTCTTCCTTCGCGCGCGCCGCACACTCGGACGCCCATCCACCGTCACCATGCGCGCGCGCGCGGTACATCCGCGCGCGTTCGCGTCTCCCGATCGTCGCTGCGTCGACGCGAGCGTCGAGCGAAGAGCGTCGAGCGAAGAGCGAAAACGAAACGGTCGACCGTCCGGTCTTTGGATTAATTCATGGAGCGCGCGCGCACACGTCTCCGCGCGGGCGCAGCGCTCGCGCGCGAGCGGTGGGGACCACGACGTGTACACGGTGATGTACGGCGACACCCTGGCGGGCGTCGCGCGCGCGTGGGGGACGAGCGTGGAGACGTTGTGCGCGGCGAACGGGATACGCTTCGGCGACGAGCGGGCGGGGGAGGACGCGCCGGCGCTCTTCGTGGGACAGCGCTTGTTGATCCCTTCGATCGACTATGATCCTTGGGAACGTGAACGCGTGGGAATGGGTAAGTCTCGCGGAGCGCGGGCGATGAGTGAGAGAGAGCGGGACGCGGAGTTCGAGCGCGCGCGCAGGGTAAGGAGCGAGCGAAGGCAGGCAATGGCGCCGGTGACGCGCGCACACGCGGTGCTGAGCGGGAACACGGTCGAGGAGCTCACGAGGGATGAGGTCGCAGGATTGCTCGCGCATCGCGACGTGACGGTGATGCTGATGTGTGAGACAAACAACTGCAAGTGGTGCGAGGACGCGCGGCCCGCGTGGACAGCCGTGGCGGTGTGCTACGCCGAGGATCCAACCGTTCGCGTGTGTCGCTTACGATGCGATACCGACGAAATGAAGCAGTTCGCGGCGAAGTACTTTCGCGCGAAAACGTTTCCGACCATTGTGGCTCTTCCCGCGGGCAAGGGACCGGTGTATCGCCACGCCAGTACAGATCGAAGCGTCGCGACATTGCTTGAGTTCGCCGAGGAAGCGTCTGGGCGCTCCAACGCGTCGGTCGCAATCGACGTGACGAAGCCCAGGAGTGCGCCCACCCCGCCGCCGGTGAGGCAAGTTGTTGAACGCGAGCCAAATTCGGCGGCCCAGCTCGCCCCACCGCGAAGCGGAAATTTATTCAAGTCACTCAACGGAGCCGTCGGGAGAGCGCTCGGATACGACCGCGCAAACGTCGGCGTGAGCGTTGGTACAAGCGTGAATCAGTATTCGCCTCTCGCCGCGTCGTCAAACATCGTGCCAATCGCGTTGGGCGGTCTCGTGACGTTGGCGGTCTTCTCAGCGATGGCAAACGTGATGTTCGCCATAAAGAGTGTCGAAGGAGAATATGATGATCGACGTCAACCGAGGAGATTAGGGCGCCACTTCGATGAAGAGCGCTTTTCGGACGATTCTGAACCCATGAGCGATTATGAGGAGGCTTGGGTGGAAGTTACCGAGCAGGGTGATATGCAGACGCTCGATGACTGGAAATCGCTCGTCGCCGAGGAGTTATGGTCGCTCCCCGGTCGCGCCGTGCTACTGATCAGGATTTGGTTCCTCATTGGAAGACGGAAAATGTATCTTGGGCTGTGGGGTGATAGACGTCGACTCAGCAGGAGAGGTTCCAGACGCTCGATGGACGAGTACTATGACGACGACGAATCTCAAAGGTAGGCTCCTTTCGCGACCAGAGCGGATACGGACCCGCTCGTCACGATGACAGCAAGTAGGTTTTCGAATGTTTGTTTCCGAATCAAGTAGCTACGGTACCGGTATGCAATTCTAAAAAGTACAGTATGTATTCAATTGTTTACGAGCAAGCCACTTTGGACTCACACACGACGTCTAAAAAACGCTCCAACGCAATGCGACGATGCGACATCTCAGCTTGCTCGTGAAATTGAAGCTCGCCGAAAGTTTTATCGTACCCGTCCGGCAAGAAGACGCTATTCCAGCTCGCCTTGCCGTGCTGCACGTCACCCTTGGGTGCCACAATGACGCCGTGGATGGAGCCAGAAAAGATTTGCACTTCCCGTTCGCCCCAGTGCCGACCCAAGAGATCCATCGCTCCTACCGTGCACGTCACGCGCGCGCGACGGTTGTCGTATCTAGACATCAGGTCCCACAGGCCCGAGGGGCCGATCGCCTCGAGCATTGCTTTGCAGTATGGGCCTGGAAACGAGTTGAGCGCCTCTAACTCCAAAGAAACGTCCTCGACGAGTAAAAAGTCTTGCCCCGCGTGCATGGCCACGGATGCCGAAGCCATTTCCGTGCACTTGCGCACCGAGATTTCTTCGTGATTGCCTTGGATTTCGGTCGTGTCGAAGTCCACCTGCGTGAGAACGACGTCAGCTCGAGCGACGTTGTCGGCCCGTTTGAACACGTGCGACGCCTCAGCGTATTTGCCCGCGTTTCCGGTACCGTATAACACGCGCATCCGCATTTTCGCGGCGCTCACCGTCGCCATCGCGGACGTGTGGGGGCGGAAAGTGATGCAAGGTGAGCGATCGTTTCAATCTTTGAGCCAGCGTCTTAAAACGCCGTGTCGTCGTCTTCATCGGCGAACATCGCCGCGAGCTGCAACGCAAAGTCGCTAGGACCATCGTTCGCCGCGTTCGTATTCGGCGGGTCGTCCCTCGTCTCTGGAATTGGAGACTTCTCTGGCATCGGCTCCGCGACACCGACGGCTTCGTCTTCGCTCAAGTCGTCCCACACTACTCCTGCCATCGCATCCTCCACCGCACTCTCGAGCAAGCGCTGTCTGAGCTCGTCACGTTTCTCCTTAGCGCTCTTCCCCGGCTCCGCGCTCCCCCCGATCTCGCCCTCGGGTTCGAAAATCGCCACCAGATTTGCGTTCGACACGCACACCGCGTGCGACCGCGTATCGGCGCTCAGCACCGGCGCGTCTCGCACCACGATCGCGCTCCCGGCACGAAGACCCGGCTCGTTCGCCATCAAATCTCTGTGCACGACGACGCGGATCTCACCCGTGGGATCACACATCGTCCCCGCCCCGTCGCCGTTCGTCGTCTTCCCGAGCTCGCGTAACACGAACGCCCCGCGCGGGACCCTTGACGAGCGCCATCCACCCCGTCTGATCCATCCCACGCCGTTCCGAGGTTCGAACGTGGTGTAATCATCCGTGCACACGTCCAAGGCTTCGCACGCCCGTCTCCACGGCGACAGATCGAACGCAGCGGCGTCGAACTCGTCTCGGTCTACCGCCAGCTGTCGCTCGTCGTTTGAATCCAGTGCGCGTCGCTCTCCATCCGCGGCGGCGTCGAGGGCGGACGCGCTCGCGCGAGCGTGCACGCAATCACCCTCGCGCGCGTTGACGAAGATGGCGGCGGGACCGGGGATATCGCGCGTCATGGAAGAAGAGAAACGACGCGAGCCGCGTTGTGCGGCGCGCGCGAGCGTCAGAGAGAGACGGGGAGAGAACGACGGGCGATGGGCGAGACGATGTCGATCATCGGGTTGGGAGATCGTGTCTTAAATGTCTTGATGCGAATCCGAGCTCGCTTGGGTCATCACGTGGCCTCGGCTCCGTACTTCGGGGGCGCCTTGCCCCAGTTTTCCTCGTACGCCGCCGCGACGGTGTCGTCCAAGTCAAGGCCAGATTTCAGGGCTTCCTTGCCCGTGCTCACGAAGCGACCCTTCGGCGGTACCGGTCGACCAAACGTGGTGTACTTCGCGGTCCATCCCTCGTACCCACCCTCGACGGCGACGCAGTTCGCGTACCCTTGATCCTGCAACGCCTTGGTGAGTTCTCTCGCTCGCGCACCGTCGGCGTCGGCGATCAAGAGCTTCATCGACGGTCGAGTCTTCTCCGTCGCTCGTTTCGCCCACGACTCCGCGAGATCACCGTCCGCGAGCGGGACGTTGATCGTCTGCTGCGGCGGCTTGGTGATGTGCTGTCTATCGTACTCCTTCCACGAGCGACAGTCCACGAACACGTACGACTCGCGCTCCAACATGCGCTTACCGTCGTCCACGTTCACCGTCACCACGTCCAGGCCGTCGTCCATCGCGACGTTTCCAGCGTCATCGCTCGCGTCTTCTTCGTCTTCTTCCACCGTCGCGACCGCGCTCGACGCCATCGTCGTCGTCGCCCCGTCCTCGCTCGACGGGGCCTCCGGCGCGTCCGCGTCAAACTCAAACAACACCTCGTCCTCGTCCATCGACGTCGTGATCCGCACGCGCTCGCGCTCGTCGTACGACGTCATTCGCTCGACCGCGCGCGCGATCGTGCGCGCGCGCGATCGTGCGCGCGGGACGACGCGGCGACCATCGCGAGCGATGTTTTCGACACGACGGACGTTCGACGTCGCCTCGACCGTCGTCGACGTCGAACGCGCGCGCGCGCGGACGGCGACGACGGCGCTCGAGAGCGCGCGCATCGCGGTCGGCATCGAACGCGCGCGCGACCGTGCGCGTCGCGAGGTGACGCGTGAGCGGTGGCGATGCTTTTTGCATCGTATCCGAGTCAGCCCGAATCTATGGGATTGGATGGAGATTTTCAACGGGGGGCGTACGCGTCGTCGTGAGGGCGCGACGCGGCGCGCGCGCGCGGATGGACGGGGTGCATCGCGCGCGACCGCGTGTGGGTTGGACCTAGCGCGCGTCGGCGTCGTCGTCGACGCTGAGCGTCTTCTTGACGCGTTTGTCGGCGTCCTTGGCGATTTCTTCCCACGTCTTCCCGTCGATGTCCCGGACGGAAAGACTCTCGACGGTGTACACCTGTGGGACGACGCGAGCCTTCTTCGGGTCGAGCTCGCGAAGATCTCGATCGTGGTAATCATTGGGCTTCTCTTGAATCTTCGGCAGTTTGAGCTCCTCGGAAGCAACGATGTGATAATCCACCGAGCCCAGGATGTGCTGAATGGCGTTCAGACGGGCGACGCGCTTGTCGTCGGCGGGGATGATGGACCACGGCACGGTTTCGCTCGTGTTCTCGAACATCAAGTCGCGAGCCTTGGAGTACTCGTAAAATTTACTCCGCGCGAACAGGTCCATCGGGCTGAGCTTCCAGCGTTTTTCGCTTCGCTCGAGTCGGTCCTTGAATCGCCTCTCTTGCTCTTCGTCGCTCACGTCGAACCAGAGTTTAATGAGCGTGATGCCGCTATCGACGAGCATTTTTTCGAACGTATTCACCTCCTTCTCGAACTGCTCGACCTGTTCTGCCGTCGCGAATCCCATCACGCGTTCCACGCCCGATCGATTGTACCACGACCGATCGAACAACACGATGTGCCCCGCGCTCGGGAGATGTTTGACGTACTTTTGAAAGTACCACTGCGTCTTCTCCTCCTCCGTCGGCGCGCTCAGAGCGACCACCTTACACTGACGCGCGCTCAGGACGTCGGTGATTCGAGAGATGCACCCACCCTTCCCCGCGGCGTCCCTACCTTCGAACAAAATAACAACCTTTTCCCCTCGCGCCTTCACGTAATCCTGCCACGTCACGAGCTCAAATTGCAAGCGCTCCAAAATCGCTTCGTACTCCGCGTTCACGATCGCCTTCCGCACCGCCTTCCGCACGCACTTCGCGTGATCCATCTCCTCGAAGAAGACGATCTGCTCGTCCGCCGAGCGCCCTCGAATCGTCCCGCTCGAATCCTCCCTCTGCGCGCGCGCGTGCGTCCCTCGAGGCGTCATCGACGACGTCCACGATCGCCCCACGCGTCCCCAGCGTCGCGCCCGTCCGTGGACGGGCGTCGCGACGCGCGTCGACGCGATCGCGCCCGACATCCCGCGACGTCGCGCGCGGTCGACGACGACGCGACGTGTTTTGGCAAGTGAAGACGCGCAACGGTCACGGCGTCCGTCGGGGACGCGGTTGAAAACGGACTCGCGCGCGCGCGGCGACGGTGACCGCGGGAAGGGAAGAAGACTATTTTTGTCACGCGTGTGTATCGATGCACGACGCGCGTGAGGACGCGGTCGCGGACCTGGGTGTTTGACGACGCGCGCGGGCGAACGACGCGCGGATCGAGCTACGCCTTGATGAGGGCTGTGATGTTGATTGGGATTTCTCCGCCGAGCTGTTCGGCGGCGCAACACCATGGGTGGAAGACTTCGCGCACGCGCTCGTCGAACCAGCGGTCGCGTTCGGGCGCGCGTCGCGGTGCGATGTACCAATCCGCGCGCGCGCGCGGGCGCGCCGTCGCGCGGCGACGACGCGGCGACGCGGCGACCGTCGGTCGACGCCGAGGGCGTCGTCGGCGTCGACGCCGAGCGATTGATGACGCGCACAAAGCGCTCGCGCGCGTGAAGTAGACGAGCATCGAGCATCGAGGTCGAGTGCATCACCTTCAATCGGTCGTGCTCGTGATGCAACGCACAAAGTTTCGGGTGGTGATGTGGTGATGCGAAAGGTGATTTGAATGTCACCCACCCGAGACGACCGTCATGTTCGGAACATGGCACCCACATCGCGGTCGAGCGTGTGACGTATACGAGCATGTCATTCACATAACGGTCGAGCGCGTGAAGTACGAGAGACGCGTCACCCACATAGTGGTCGAGCGTGTCGAGTATACGAACATGGTACCCACACAGCGGTCGAGCGTGTCGAGTATACGAGCATGGCACCCACATAGTGGTCGAGCGTGTCGAGTATACGAGCATGTCATTCACATAACGGTCGAGCGTGTAAAGTATACGAGCGACGCGTCCCAAACATCGCGGTCGCGCGACGGCGGCGCGCGAGGCGTCGACGCGATGAAGGTGCCGACGTACGACGCCGACCCGGGCGCGCGCGCGTACGGCGGGTTCGGGGCGCGCGTGATGACGTCCATGGGATGGACCGCGGGCGATGGGCTCGGGAAGCGACGACACGGCGTTCGAGCGCCCATCGAGGCGGTGAAACGCGAGGACGGCGTCGGGCTGGGACGACGCGAGGCGCGGTACAAATGGGACGAGAAGTGGTGGGAGGGGAGCTTTGCGAACGCGGCGGAGAGAATCGCGCGCGTCATGGGGAAGGGGGACTCGGATGCGGCGTCGACGTCGGAGAGTGCGTCGGAGAGCGCGTCGGACGCGGCGCGGGGCGAAACGGCGACGGGACGGGACGGCGTCGCGTGTAGCGGATCGAAGAGCGAGCTGAAGCTCATGGAGGAACTGGCGAGGGATAATCATCGAGGATCGACGTTTGGTGGACGCGTGGGGAAGCTCGAGCGCATCGCGAGGTTTGAGGCTGAGCAATTGGCCAAGTACGGAATTCAACGCGGAAGCGCCGTCTCGGACGTCTCGACGGCAAAGGCGGAGAAAAAGTCCAAGGATGCGAAGAAATTAAGGGAAACGCGACGGTCCGGCGAGTCGGGAGATTCGTCGTCGAGCGAGGAGGCGGAGGCGTCACCGCCCACGTCCGGGAAGGCGTACGAGGGGGCGAAGTCCGCGAGCACGGAGAGCTCGTCGTGGTGGCGCGCCGTCTTCACCTGGGGCGGATTGGTTGGCTCCGCTCGCGAGCGCGACGGCGAGCGAACGGGCGCGAGCGGGCGCAAGGCGTTCACCGAGAACGATCAAGAGGCGTTATTTAAGTCGGCGCACGAAACGAACGTCGTCAAGGGCACCAAGCGCGGCTTGGGCGGTAAAGGCGAAATCAAGAGCGAGTGGACCGGCACGCGCGTGACAACCTTTGACGACGACGACGACGCTCGCGACGCGAAGAGGTCAAAGAAGGAGAAAAAAGAGAAAAAGGAGAAAAAGGAGAAGAAGGAGAAGAAGGAGAAGAAGGAGAAGAAATCCTCCAAGAAGAGCGCAAAAAAGTGAGCGTTCGCGGTGTAAAAATAATTACCCTGTACAAGACACCCGGATGCGCACTCGCGTGCTCGGAATTTCAAAAAACACGACTCTCGCGCGCGCGCCGTCCCGCCCATCGACATCCCGTCCTCGCTCGTCGTCGACGGGTGATGAAACGCGCGCGAGAGCTCGCGCACGACGTGTGTTCTCGCGCGTCCCGCGCGCGCGCGCGCGTCGACGCGGTGAGAGATTCCAACACCGCCGCGAGCTCGGCGACCACCTCGACGTCGTCGCTCGAACGCGTGCGAGTGCTCATCGCGTGCGGAGCCCTGGACTCGCGCGAGTTGAGCGACGCCATAGCGGTGGAACTTCGCGTGGCGCGACGAGGAGAGTAGGCGTGAGCGATGAAGAACACGATCGATGCGTTTTTCACGCCGAGGACGCGGGAGACGATCGAGCGAACGTCGAGGGAGACGTCTTCGGGGAACGATGTAGACGGTGGGTCGAGATTTTCTCGGTGTCCGGTGTGCGAAAAAGACGTGTTGTCGATATTTCTGGCGTCGCACGCGGACGGGTGCGAGGGAAAGACGAGACGGGAGTCGACGAGCGGGAGTCGACGAGCGGCGAAACCAGAGACGAGTTTCGCCGTGAAAGCATCGATGAGCGGCGCGAACGCTTTTGACAGCATGATGGCGGCGCAAAAGGAACGCGAACGCGTCAGGACTTTTACGATGAAGTACGACGCATCTCTCGGAAGATGGCGAGCGATGTTGGAAAAGACAGCGAGTACGCAAACCGCGACTTGGTCGGGTAAAGTCGTCGTGAAGGAGAAACTTGCGAGCGGCTCGACGTGTACGACGACGTTGAAACTGATTTACGAGGCGAATGAAAACATCAAGGTTACAGAACACGACGCATCGATCCTTAGCGCCATGGCTGAAGCTCGAGAGGTGATGGATATGAAAGCAAAGCGTGCCGCCTCGGTCGGCGATGGCGAGCAGCTTAAAGTGAGCGTCGTAAAATCTGCGCTCCAGAAAAATGTCCGCCGCGGCAGATCCGTCGCGGCGACTCGTGTGGCGACGCACATGTCCCTCCAGCCGGATTCGTTCGTGGAGCTCGTTCGCAGGTTGGTCATCATATCCCTCGAGGATGCTATTCTGCACCACGAGGTGCCAACTTTGACTTGGCTCATGTGCGCCACGAGCAAGGGATTCCAACCGTCGGACGCGATGCGTGCGTGCGTTGTGCGCATCGCTGGAGAGATAGCCGCAGTCTCGACGAAGGACAAAGTGACGTACGGCGCCGCACGAACGGGATGTGAGGACCCACTGACACTGAACGACGTCGAGGCGCAGCTACCCGAGGAGGAATCAACTCTTGTTCAATCTCTGATCATTCGTGCGCAGTTCGGCGGTATGCCCGGCGATGTCGCGATGCTTCGTGGATTCTCGCGCGTTTGGCTCGATAGATTCAAAGAAAAAACGTCCACTGTTCCACCAGAATACGACTCTTTACGCAACGTGGAAATCATCGAGGAGTCGACCACGAACAGGACGCCGTGGCTTTCCTTTCTGGAGCATACGTTCGAAGATGCGAGGGATTCAAACGAAGCGGAGGCGTGTAAATGGGGTGGCTTCATGCGTCGGAGCGATATCCCGATCGCCGCCGTCGATTTCCACGTATCGAACTGTGTTGAAAGTATTCTTCAGACGCCGACGATTCGGTTGCGAATCGTCGACGCGGCTAAAGAGCTAGGTTTGGGAGACGATGTGAACGCCACGGATACCGTCAAGAGTGCTATTTGGCGACACAGTGCGGGTGTGAACTTCAAGCGCGCGATCGAGACACGAAGTGCGAAAAAAGTAGTAAAGTCTAGGCCGGAAACAAAGCCGTCTCGCGACGACGAACTCCTGCTCGCAATATGGGACATAGTTAACGAAGATTTGGAGCGTTGGGTCACGCGCTATCTCGCATTCCGAATGCCGCGTTGACGATAGGTAGATTTGTATTATTTGTCTGGAAAATGCTGTTGGTATTAAAGTACAACAGAGAACAAAAGCGCTGCCAAAAATGATTAATGCGTGTATGTCAGCAGATTGTCAAAGAAGTCATCCGTCTTCTCCAGGGTTTGTGTCAGAACGAACTTGATGATCGATCTCTCGCCCCTCGTAACACCAGTAACCCTGTGCGGAGCACCCTCCGCGCGGACGACGATCACGGAGTTGGGCTCTGTCCAACCTCCATAGCGCATGCCGGTTCGCTCGTCCTCCCACTCCGTCGTGCTATCGCTCGTGTTCGTCACCGTGTACACGATTTCGTATTGCGGCTGTGTGTACAACGCGACGTCTTTGTGCCAATCCATCGATCCTCCTACGGGATACACTCGGTACTCCACCGGCACATCTCCTGCCACGAGATTCGCTCCGTGTCCCTCGCCGAGAAGCAAGCCGCTCAGGCGCTCCGCCACCTCCTTCGCCACGCACGCCTCATGGACGAAGTTATCGCTCGGAACCATCATCCCTAATCTTTGTCTCGCGCACGCGCGGTGTTCCAGCGTCACGCTCCCTCGCATCTTCTCGCATTCCTCCCGCACGCGCGCGCTCGTCGCCGCGTCGAAAAAGTTACGCACGTACAGCAATCCCCCAGACTTATCCAGCGCCGAGCGCGCGCTCGAGCTCGCCTCACCCCCATCACGCTCTCTCGGTCGTCTCGTCTCCGTCGCCGCGCGCGCGCTCGCTCGCGAGCGTCGACTCGACGCGCACGTCGTCATCCATCCCCGTCGCGCGCGCGCTCGAGCGCCCCCCGCGCGCGGTCGAATCGCCCCCCATCGCGCGCGCCGCGTCGCCACCGCCGCGTCGCCGTCGACGCGTCGATCGACCGTCGACGCCGCGCGCATCGACGGCCGCGTCGTCGTCGCCATCGACGCCATCGACGACGCGCGCGGCGATCTCGCGCGTCGAGGGGGACGACGGCGACGGGGGCGGCGAGCGACCGGTGCGCGACCGGTGCGCGAAAGGCGAGCGACCGGTGCGCGAAAGGCGAGCGACCGGTGCGCGAAAGGCGAGCGACCGGTGCGCGAAAGGCGATCGATCGACCGCCGTCGGTCGAGGGCGTCGCGCGGGCGATCGATCGCGGGTTTGGTTTTTTTGACATTCGATCGCGAATGCGGTCGCTCGCGTACGAGGCGCGACCGCGCGTTCGGGCGTCCGATGCTTGGGGCTAAACCCTATGGTCCGCCACCCATCGCGTCGCCGCGACGGGGGCGCGGGCGCGCGCGCGGCGTCGCGATCCGCCTTTCCGTGGCGCGCGAGATGGCTCCGTACAGAGTGCGTTCGTTCGACGTCGACGCGACGGGCGAAGAGATTGGTTTCGTTCGCTCGAACGCGCGCGCGCGGTCGCGGTGACGTCGTCGGAGAGGCGAGCGGATGCGATGTCACGGAGGACCGCGCGCATCGTTTGGGGTTTTCCACCGTCGATCCCGATCGTGTTCGAGGAGTCCGGGCGCGACGACGAGCGCGAACGAATGGAACTCGACGCGTGCGGCGCGAGAATGATTTTTATTCGCGATCGTGACGTGTGTCGCGCGAACGGGCGATGGCGATACGTGACGTGGACGACGAACGCGTGGACTGACCGCGACGATGAGCTTTGCACTCGCAGTACCGCCAATTTCAAGTCGTCGGCCGACACCTCCCGACGGAGGCGACGCCGGAGCCGGAGGTGTTCCGCATGAAGCTTTGGGCGCTCGATGACGTCAAGGCGCGATCGAAGTTCTGGTGCGTGCGAGGCGACGAACGAGATGACGAGACGCTGGACGGACCGTCCGTGCACGAACCAAGACGAGGACGAAACAGAGCGCGACGAGTCGACGCGAGCGTGAAACTGACCGAAGTACGTGATTTATGGACGCAGGTATTTCATGTCTCGCCTCAAGAAGGTCAAGAAGGCGAACGGTCAAATCATCGCTTGCAACGAGGTGCGCATCGCTGCGATTGGAAAGCCCTAGGGCTGCGTGAGAGAAAGCGTCCGCGAAGACAGAAAGAGGGAGAGACTGACGTGATTTGATTCCTTCGCGAATCGACAGATCTTTGAGGAGGACACGACGACCGTGAAGAACTTCGGCATCTGGATCCGTTACCAATCCCGCACGGGCTTCCACAACTCCTACAAGGAGTACCGCGAGACCACCATGAACAAGGCGGTGGACGCGCTCTACGAGGAAATGGCTTCCCGCCACCGCGTGCGCTCCTCCCAGCTGCAAATCATTAAGATTGCGGAAGTCTCCGATGAGAACGTCCGTCGTGAGAACACGCGCCAATTCCTCGCCGAAGACTTGTCCTTCCCGGTCGTGAACAAGGTCATGCGTCACCCGAGCAAGGCGACCAAGACCATCTTCAAGTACAAGCGTCCGAATCATGTTACGTTGTGATTGCGATGTGGCGCAGGAACTTCTTGATTAGACACATTAGCATGGGTGAGGGTGAGACGTAGACGCGGCGCGAATTTGTAATCGTCGAATGTCTCGAAAATGAAAACGATGTGTTCTGCTTTGCTTGTTTCTGAACTAAAATGTCTCCGCGCGGCGCATCTAAGTGTTTTATGCCATGTATTTGAAAACCTGTGGATTCTCCTTGTCGCGCTCGATGAACTCCTTGTTAATGAGCTCTTCGACTCGAATCTTGATTTGTTTCGGCTCAGGAACGAACTTCTGTTTGAGTTGAGACACGACTTCAATGATGAGTTGGTTGTACGCCAGAGATTTTCTCGCCTTCATCGTTCGAACGATTGCCGCATCGATCGCGTGGCGCCGATCGTGCTCGACGTGCTCGATAGTGACCTTCTTCTCGTCTACGGGCGGTAGTCCTATTTTAATGCGTCTCGATCTATCCGTGAACTTTTCATTGAACGCGAAGACGTCATCCGGTCCGATTGTCTTGCCCTCTGGAGACTTGTTCAGAATTTTGTACTTCGCACAAGATAGAGAGTACAGAGCGCGTTTGGCGTCGTCGGGGGGTAATTTTGTCAAATCGATCACGTTCTGCATCGTCAGCTCCGTCTTGGCTCCGAAGAGTAGCAAAACTGCGCACTGAGTGGTTTGCATGAGCATCTCAATGGACTTGGTCTCAAACTTACCAACCACGGTAGCCGTTCCGAGATGATGGATCCACGTCAATTTACGCTGTCCCATGCGTTTATCATAGAAGCTTCTGAAGGTGTCCACGCACTTCGCCAACTCATCGTTCAGCTGGAACTCCACGGGTTTGTGCTGGGGCCAGAAGCCGTGAGTCAAGATGGTGACTGAGAAATCGAGAGGGGGCTTACGGTTCGCCGCATCCTCCTCCATCCACCGTTCAAAGGTATCTTGCGTCTCCCGCGCGGATTGCAAATCGTTTAACATTCCTTCCATTTTACCAGTGAATTGCGCTCCGCACTGTGTCTTGAGTTTGCTCAAAATTGAACGCTCGTAATCCTGACTCGCTGAGCTGTCCGTCAACAGACGTCTGGCGAGCTTTTTGCGGTAGAACTCTCCAAACATGTCCTTATCGCTAATAAAAGCCAAGAGTTTGACGACCTTTTCTAAGGTTTCCTCCATCTTTTCATCGCTCAGCTTCTCACTCCCACCCTTACGCAACAGTTTGTCCGAGAAATCGGCCAGAAGCTGCGCGGTGGAGTTCCCGGCGATTCCCTTGTTGCAGAAGTTCTCGAAAGCCTCCGTCAAAGCACGATTGAATAAAGCACTGCTGTCGAAACATTCGTTTACGTACGTGCTGTACTTGTCGTATAGTTCGATCGCACTGCGAGTGAATACCTGCTCCACGGATGTGGATGCCGCGTCCTTGTCCGGCTTCTTGCTCTTCATGTTTGACGCCGTCTGCTCGGCGACGCTCACTAAGTTCATTCCATCCTTCTTCACGTGAGCCTTGAAAATTTCAGCTATCGGCTTCAAGCCGCTTGGTACAGCACGGAAGAGGCGGTACATGCGAGCCAAATCTTCCGTTTTGTCTTCGACTAAGAGTGCCGCACATCCGCTATTCTCCTTCTCCAGTAACTCATTTTCATACTGCTCGAGCAGTTGTTGCTCCACCTTCGAAATCAGCTTGGATTCGGTAGTTTGATGCAAGTAAAGCTGCACTCGCTCGCGCTCGCTGTTCAGACACTCTTCCGCCTTGATAAGGTAAGCCGGACAGGAGTCCTCTGCGATCCACTGCAAAGCCTTGCGCGAATAGAAAGACGCAGTGTGTGCCAACAAATCCGCTTCGAAATCATTTTGGTACGCGTCCATCGTCCCCAAACCCATTTCGACAAAAATCGACGTAATATTCTTAATCAACGTCCTGTCCGTCTTTTCTCCCTCCCGCTCCTTGTCGATGAGCTCGAGCACCGCCGTCTTCACGCTCAACTTGATCTCGTCGTACACGAGCCGACGAAAGCAATTCACCCCGACATCCTTGAGGGGAGGGAAATGATGACGCTGAACGTAGTATCGGTCGAGATAGTTGAAAAACTTCGACAGCCATCGAACCATTATCTTGTGGTTCTCCCATCGCATCACCAGACTCTTCAGCATGTACTCACCCTTCTTTTCCACGAGCGTTGGCAAAACCTTTGCATTGATGTACTGGTTAAAGGCCGCCTCGTAACGCTCGTACAACTGCTCTGAGAAGTCGTACGGCGCCTTTTGCGTGCACATGTTGTAAATGGTACTACGAGTGCACAAATTAAACGATCTGTCAGTCAACACGCTTTACGTCGCGAAACAATCGCACGAAGTCACGCGAAGCGCGGCGCTCCGGAGTTGTAACCAGAAACCCGACGACGCGTCAGACAAGGCTGAAAAGTAGTCCACAAGAGTGTTCAGACTGAAGTGTGAATCACTGTATGGTATATCGTCATCACTCGTGTCATGGATTTCGGGTCTCCCTCTCCTCTCATTGCGCGCGCTCGTCGTCGCCTCGCTCGCGCGGTCAACGCCGATTTCGAGACGTACGTGTACAGGTTCATGTACTCCTCCGACGTAAACGGCTCGGCGTCGTCCGTGTCAAGGATACGTCTCAGTTTCATGATACCATCCTGCGTTCACGTCACCGTCGTCGACGAGCTCGGTCAGTGCCCCCTCCGCGAGATCTCGCGCGCGCAGACAACCGTTTTACGTCGAATCTAAACGCGCGCGCGCGCCCTCTCTCACGCTCCGCGTCGCACCTGCATCCGTCCCCATCCCTCCTCCAGCGCCACGGGTCGACGATCCGTCATCCTTCTCTCGGTCCTCTCTCCGCGTCCTCGTTCGATCGTCCGTTCGCTCGATCCGCTCTCTCACCGTCCCTCTCCGACCCGTGCCGCGCGCGCGCGCGTCCGATCCCCGCCCGCGCGCGCGCGAACTCGACGTTCGCGTCCGTTCGCCCCGCGCCGTCGCCCGCGCGTCGTCGTCGTCGTCGTCGTT